GTGGCCCCTTAATTTTTTTTAAATAAATTTTTAAAAAGGAATAAATGAATAAATTTAAATAAAGTAATTATTTTTTTTTAAAAGAGGGAAGGGTGGGAACTAGAACTACATTGCAATTTCAGAGCCCTCCCATCAATATGGAGCTCAGCTCCCACTATCAATGCCTGTCACAAGGCCCATGGTTGTCAATGTTTTCAACTTTTTCTTTTTTTAAGAGGTGTTTGCTATAGAGCGCGTGCGCTTGCCAGAAAGACAGAGACAGAAAGAGAGAAATCACCCTCTGGGGGGGATGGCCACACTGCGATCCCTTCTCCTCCATTCTCCTCTCGGGATCTTGGGCACGCACACACATGCGCCCGGCATGAGTTTAAGCCACCAGGTCTGGGACTCGAACTGCGGTCAACTACATGGGAGTCCAGTGACATAGCCATCAAACCAGCTGCTGGTCCCAATGTTTTCAACTTTTTCAAGAAATGTCAGAAATCTAGTCTGAATTTATACCAGATGAATATCCCTCATCCAAAATGTTTCAAAAATCTGAGACTTGACTACTAGCATGAGGCCACACATGGAAAGTTCCACACCTCACCTCACGACAGCGGTCAAGCAATGCAATACAAAAACACTGTACAAACTATGGCCAGGCTGTGTCAGGTGGATGTGAAACAGAAACGCAATTCATCTCACTACCTATGTGCAAATATCCCAAACTGAGAAAACCCAAAATCAAAAACACTTCTGACCCCAAGCATTTCAAATAAGGATATCCAACCTATATGTGAAATTTGCCACTAAAAATTCTTTAAGTATGCGTAAAATGCACACTCAAAATGGAGCCTCAAGTCTCTCTCCCTTACTGCACAGTCACCTGTCTGCCCCCCAATACCCACGCAGTGCCCGTATCATTCTATTTCTCGTTGTTTGTTTTGGTACAGCGTGCATATGCTCATCAAAGAGAGAGAAAAAGTGAGGGGACCCCCCACCCCCTTCAGAGGAATGGCCACGCCATAATCCCTTCTACTCCATTCTCTTCTTTTGGGCATGTACACACACACACACGGTCTGAGTTTTAAGCCTCCGGGTCCAGGACTCGACCACAGTCAACTACATGGGAATCCAGCAACATAACCATTATGCCATCTGCTGGTCCCGATTTCTTTTTGGTTTTGGTACAGTGTGCATATGCTTATGTGAGAGAGAGAGAAAATAAGAAATCACCCCCCTGGGGTGGGTGGGATGGCCACACTGCAGTCCTCCTCCTCCAGGCTGTTCATAAGATTTGGGGCACACATGCACCAGGCATGATTTTCAAACCGCTGGGTTAGGGACTCAAACGGTGCAGTCAGTCACGTGGAATCCAGCACCTTAAAACTCCATGCCACCTGCTGGCCAACCATTCTATTTTTTGTTTTCATCTGATGTTATAATTTTCTTCTGACTTCTTAACAGTATCAAGTAATTCAAGTTTGAAATGCACATCCATGTGCACACACGCTCACTCACTCATACTGTACTGGCCAGAAACACACACGTGCAGGCCAGTCAGCCAATGGGTACCAGTGAGTGACCTCTGACCTACTCACTGGGGCTCAGAGTAAAAGTCCAGTGGCAACTGCAAAGCAGTCAGACCGACTGTACACAAGCCCGTTCCCAGCCAAGTAGACAACTCAGAGCTGCGAGACTGGCCAGGCCAGCTGGCCGGCTGAGGGCCAAACGGCACCCCCACTCCCAACTCAGAGGTGGCCTTGCCCCCAGCTCTCACAGGAAGATGCGCTCGGAGGAGCAGGCACTTCCAGCCAGGCGCAGCGTGAGCCTCCTGTCCCCACAGCCCCTAGAAGCCCTGCCAACACAGTGTCAGAAGCTCAGACTTTCCCAGGCAGCTCCCGGTAGGACAGAGTGACAAGTAAGGCTGAGGAGCCCTCAGTGCAAGCCCTGGCTCTCCCACCGAGGTGACGGGGCCAGGCAGCTGAGCCAGCGGGTGGTTTCCAACCTCAGCTGTAACCCTTAGCTGGACGGTTCCCACGAGGCTGCAGAGCCCCCAAGGAGACAGATTTCGGTTATCATAATGTTTGGGGGACACTACTGACACTTAGTGGGTGTTTGGGAGACAAGAACATGGGTTATCCTGCAACACACAGGACTGTCTCACACACTGACCCAATTCCTACACAATTTAACTAACTCATGCAGATAAAACACCTGCCATTACAGACCTAAACCCAGAACCCCTTTTACACACAAACAAGAAAGCTGTTCTAAAGTTTCAATATACGTTGAATTTTCCTCTGTAATCTGAGGGAAAATCGGACTTTTTAAAAAATTCAGAACATAGCAAAAGTCCACTATTTGGAAAAATGTCAAGGAAGGCACCCCCGCCCATCACGGGAACCGCCTTCCTGGCAGGTCCAGATGCCATCTTCGTGGTGTCCCACCTGGGGTCTCAGTACCGACCGCTCCACTCTGCCACCCAGTACTGACGTTCTAGAACACACAGTGCTAGGAATCACTTTCCTCTTACTTCTCGTCTCACAGTCGCCATCATGCTAGCTGGCGGACTCTTCACACACATACACGGTTAACACGTAGTAGTTCTATTAACTTAGGAAGTGTCACAACAGAACAGCATCCAACACTTCGACTACACTTACTGTACCGGGCACAGCTCTGAGCACTTAGCTGTACTAACCCACTTATCCTCCGCAAAGTCATGTTTACCAAAAAAAGAGGGGACAGGGTTTAAGAGAACAGAGCATCACTGCTTTCCAGAACCCCAAAGCACACTTTGAAGACCCCTGGCCCAGGTAGCTTTTCCCCACAGCCCAGCTAGAGGGAGCAACATCCCAATATCACACCCACGTCCCTGGAGCAAAGTGACCCCAATCCCTAAGGCTCAGCCTCAAGATGGGGGGCTCCTAGCCCCCAACAGGGCAAGCTGTCTGTTGGCCCCCACTGCTTCCTCCTTACCAAACCCCAAGTCCCGGGGCTCCAGGGTCTTCATCCCTATCCCCTCTAGGTTCCTCAAGAGCTCAAAAGCTGGGGGACACCCAGAGTCCCCTCCCCTGAAGATGCAGACAGCACAGCCCAGCCTGCTCCCTTTCCCTGAAATGCCACCTGTCAAATCTCTCTGCTCGGCTGGGCACCCCCTCCCTTTCCCTGAACCCAGGAACAGGGCTGCCTGCCTAGGGGGTGTGTGGGATCCCGGGATCCTGCTGAGGAGGCAGGAGGCAGAGGCCCAGGCCTATCCTAATGCTGAGCCCAGGGTGACTCTGGAGAGGCTGGCTCCCCGGAGCCCAGGTTTCTCTGTGTGAAGCACGGAGTGCTGCTGCAGCCCCCAGCTCAGTCTCCATTCTGTGCCTGCTCCCGGCACTGCACGGGGCCTGCACACCTGTGTCTCCCGTGCGCGGATCTGTGGCTGCCGTGCGCGCACACGCTTGG